TACTTTTTGTTACAAAGTTACATTTTCGTTTCATTTTTGCATATTTCTAATGATAGAAATCATAGAATCTAGTTTCTTTTGTAGTTGAACCTTAATGCTGGCATATGTTGTTAGTTGAAGTGGAAAAGGTCTAACTCTGCTAAGACTTTCTCCTACTATTGTTCCTTGTGACAGTATTATATTGCTTGCTTGTTATTAGATTATGTTTCCTACATTCTTCTGTTATTACAGCGAGCTACTGGCAATTTATGTATGTGGTGTTTGCAGGTTCCTGTTAGAAAGTCTGAATATTTGGTTTTAGTTTGGCATTCTAAATGAGATTCATAAGTGTTTCTTGTTTTTCTTAGATGAAAAGATATGGTGGAAGTAATTTGGTAATTGGGTTTTGTGTTGCAACTGCGATACTTGTTTTGGCTGTAAGGGCATATGTGGTAAGAAAGTCAAAGCACGCCAATCCTGGCTCTGTGGCTGATCTTGTAAGGCGTGGCCATCTAAGATCCGATAGAAGAGGCATGTATGGTTTCAATCCTTGCACCTTTTCGGTTGTCTATGTTTGTCTTTAGTGGATGTTACTTATGGTTGATTTTTTCATTTTTTTTTTGAGGCTTCCATGGTCATATTTTCTTAAAGAACATCGATGCAGCATTACTCGTCTGTCAGCACTTTGCACTTTGGTTATGATGTGCTTCCCAGTCCTAATAATATTGTGGTTTTTTTTTCATATGAAATCCTTTTTCACAGATCAAGACCTCTTAAGTATGATGACCCCTTTAATAATCCACTGGTGAAAAGCAAAGGAAATTCAACTGTAGAGATGTGTGGGAAGGTTTATCGCCTGGCTCCTATTACTCTTACTCAAGAGCAACAAGCTATCCATCAGAAAAGGAGGTCAAGAGCATACCAGTGGAAGAGACCAACAGTTTTCCTTAAAGAAGGGGACTCAGTCCCTCCAGATGTTGACCCTGACACAATCAGGTGGATTCCTGCAAATCATCCTTTTGCAACCACTGTTAGTGACATTGATGAGGACTTGGCACAAAACAATGTTTATCAAAAGCATGGTGTTCCATTCCGTATTCAGGCCGAGCATGAGGCACTGCAAAGAAAGCTGGAAGCACTACAGAATGTAAGTACTTTTTAAAACTTCTTTAGCTGATATCAGTCTAGGTATAAGAAAAGCGTATGATACACATATGCCATATTGAGAATGGCTCAAAGTTATAGCGATAAGATTATTACCCTGCAGGAAGGATTACTTTGGAAATGATGGTATTTGCTCTATTTATAGTTTTGGAGAGGAAAAATAAGGAAAGGACTAGTGTGAAGGATTAGATGCTGCGTGTAACCAGGAAACTGAACTAGTTTGCCCTTTTGTTTATATATGAACTAGTAGAACTATTAATCAAGTGTTTCCTGCATATATATTAATTCATTTTAGTTGAATTTCCTTCTATACCATTTGTCAACTGTTATGTATTTACACAAGCATGGCTGATGATCCACTCCTTGACAGGATCCTAGGTCCCTAACAACAGTCCTTGAGTGGGAAATTTTAAATTCATTAGTGTTTAAGAAGCTAAACAGCCTAATATTTGCAAATCTTTATTTATGGCATGATTTGCTACCTCTGTTGCAGTGCATTCCTCTTTGAAAACTTATATTTGTTTCTTTATGCAGGATGAAAACTCAGAAATCCAATTATTGATGGTAGAAATGCTAAAGATTTCCAGAAACCATTCAAGTTATATTCCAAGTCAAATGACCCTCAGCAAGACAGCCCAGCTAATAATCAGGTTGCTGACTTTAAGCCTCCCAAACCAGAGCACGACCAACATTCTTCTCAAAGCACTTTATCTTCGGAGGAAATGCAGAAACCTTGAGGTACATATGGCTGCTGCCTACTGTTGGTATTATCTTCGATTTTCAAATACTATATATCTCTAGTAAATTCCATCGTATTTTCAATGTGCTCAAAATTCCTGTGAAATTACTTTCAATCGACCTTTTTAGGCCCAATCCCCAATGACATTTGTAAAAGACAGGAAATCTTGTAAAATAAAGTTGCCATGTTTGATGTTGGATTCAGTCTGACCCCTCATGCTTCATCTTGTGACAATTAGAAAAAACTAAATGGTGTTGCTATGAGTACCTTTTTTTTTTTTTTTTTTTTTATATTTTTTTTATGTGTTTTTATATATATGTTTTTTTTCTATTTTGGGTGTTTTATATATTTTAAGAGTCTCTTTTTGTGGCGTGTTGTTTTGTGCAAAGGTGTGGGACAATTATTTTTCAAATAGCATTTCTCAAAACTAAAAGAGTTTGCAATCGATTAGCTGTTAGTAAAACTTTCATGCACCTATATTATTAAGAGAAGCTTATTTCCAAGCAAAAGCTACTAAGAATATCGCTTGAAATTCAAGCAGAACTAACAAGCTATTAATTAATTGCACCGGTATGACTATGAATAAAAGATGACCAATTTCTAAACTTGAGTTGGCAATATGTCATTCAAAGCAGCAAATCACTCGCTCTTCACATCCGGTTGTCTTGGACCAGCACCAATGGCAAAGAACTCAATAATGACTTCAAGGGGCATGCCTTTGGTTTCTGGGACCTTCAAGAAGACAAAGATCCAAGATATGACGCACACAACAGCATAGATGCCAAAGATACCTGCCAGGCCTATCGAACTGAGCAGCTCAGGCAAAGTGTAGGTGACAATGATATCACAGATCCAGTAAACTAAAGCACAGACAGCAATGCAGAGGCCTCGGACCCTTGTAGGAAAGATTTCAGAGCAGAGGATGTTTGGAATTGGTCCATATCCCATGACAAAACAGCAGAAGTAGATGATGACACAAGCTGTCGAGATTGCTGCACTCACAACTGTGCCTAAGTCCACCAGTTCGCTAATGACTAGAATAACAAGAGACACAATCAGGACAGGAATTGTGGTAAGTAGGAGCTGCCTGCAAAAATTGGAAGAATTGTTAATTTTGAAGAGAAGAAAGTTGATGGTTACAAGAAGAGGAGATCTTGCTTTTAGAAAGCTATGATTGAAACTAGAAGTGAAATTTTCAGAGGAATATATTACCTTCTGCCTGAGATATCCATGAGCCTCATGGCTACACCAATACAAGGAAGCATCAGTAAGGTTGTGAATGCACTAATGAGGAATGATGCAGAAGTTGTACTGAGTCCCAAGTTTGCAAGAAGAACTTCGACACCTGCTGACTCGAGAATTTGAGGGGTGTAGTAGAGAACTCCATTTATTCCAGAAAACTGTACATAAATTTAAAAAAAAAATGTTGAGTTCACCAATCCTACTTGAAGTAACTCTGATAAATAGAGAGATTTTAAAGAAAATTTCTGTTTCATGTACTAAAAACAAAACGTTAGAATGTTAAGATTCATTTACTATTTCCTAAAAAGATAGGATAGATCATCTAATGAATTCTGCCAAGGAGATCCAGTAATCACGAAACCACCATTTTCATTCAAGTGAAGCAAGAAAAACTATCCATGGTAAGGCAATATAACATAACCAATAACAGAAAATTTATTAGTTACCTGCTGAAGCAGCTGAATTCCGATTCCAACCAACAAGGCACGCTTAACTCCTGGGTCAAGAAGAGCATCCCAAAGTGGTCCTTTTCCTGCAGTTTCTGATGGATGAACCATTGCAGGTCCAACAGTTTTCTGATCCAGAAGCTCCTTTGAATACAGAGCAGGCTGGCTTACCAGACCAGCAGCTTGGATGTACTCACCTTCTGCAGGAACATCATTACCCATAAGTGAAACATGAGACCCAAGACGAGTTCCAGGGCCTCCCTCCTGATGCAAATAAATTCTTTTAAATCCTCCTTCCTTCTTTCCATCATCACCTTCTCTCTCAGACCATTTCCATGCTAGCTGCCAGCCACCTCCAATGCCTGTACTACCAACTGGCTCCCCACTTTCTTGCACAAGACTGCTATGGCGTCTCATATTCGTAACACTGCCATGGGAAGCTGGAGGTACCATGTCCTTCTCCATGCTAGTTGTTTGACGAGAAATTAGAGGGCTATGCAAATTGTCATCAGAGTCTCCTCCAGCAGCCTCTGCTGTATAGTCTTCACCTTCCATTTGGCTCTCTTCATCCCAGTGTTCATTCCTAACATGAGGTTCAGCTGTACTGAACATACTTCCAAAATTAGGAAAAAGCATGCTTCGCATGCTTCCTGTCTCTGGGAGCTTTTCATGGACACTACCAAATAATGTTACAAGGGGATCCATAAAAGGTATACTTTGGTTCCCCACACTTCCCTGGCGAGAGGCAATGCCACCAAGCATACTTTGTCCAGTGACAGGTTTGGCAACCCAAGAGAGGCCTTCCTCAGGACCATATAATTTTATTTTGTCTTTCTCATCAGTTGGTTCTTGACTGGCAGCAATTTCATCACCTGCGCCTATCATGTACTCTTCTATAGAAGTTTCACCCCCAATCCCAAGACCTTCAACAAGCAAAGCCATCTCACCTGTGCATCAGACAAGTTTCAGCAAGATTGACAAGGTAAAAAAGCCTTAAAACTCATCTATACTCATATTTTATTTTTGAGTTTTGGAACTTTTCTTACCAACTTTCATTAGAGCATACAGCAAATTCTAAATGTTATAAAAAATTTAGTAGTTAATGTCCATTCAAATCTAATTATAACTGGAATATTCATGACTGTTAAAGATTCAATACACAGAAAACAACTGAAGACAAGGCTGTTGATTCCACCTGTATTATAAATAAATTTATGCATCATGTTTTCATACCATAGTAAATTGAACTTACTGATCTCTTAAATATTCTATCAAACTATCAAAGAAAACTACAAACAGTTATTTTTTGAGAAAGAAACCAAATAAAACTAGGGTATTCCAAAGTCTAGAAAAGTATACATGATATTCTTTATTTTGAGATGTTTCTATCTGAAAATATATTCAAATAACTATACATATACCTTGCATCATAGTTTTAAGTCTCTAAGTGATTCCATATTGAAGAAGAATGCAGACTATTCTTTTGGCCTAAAGCTGAGTATCTAACCATACATTCCCCACCCAACCTTGGTCCTAAGAAATTGGTACAAGAAATGGTGGTAGTAAATCATGTACCTGAAACATCTTCCTTGCCACGTAATCTTTGAAGAACACGTTTCGCCTCAAGCATCTTTCCTTTACTCACAAGCCATCGAGGAGATTCAGGTAGATAAAAAATTGTTAAGACAAAGTAGAGAAGAGCGGGTATTGAGAGAACCCCAAGCATCAGTCTCCAACTTGGTGAGGCCATTAATGACATTCCAAAAATCATACAATATGATAAAAACATCCCACCTGAACCAGTGAATTGTGGAAGAGTATTTAGCAATCCCCTGATCTCTGGAGGGGCTGTTTCAGATATATATATTGGGACGAGAGTAACTGCCAGACCAATTCCAAAGCCATCTAATAGCCTTGCTACACATAAAACATAGATATTAGGTGACCAAAGCATCACCAGACCACTAATGAAATAAAGCACAGATGACAGTATTAGCATTGGTCGTCGGCCAAGCCAATCTGAAATGGGTCCAGAGCATGTTGTGATGGCAGTGGCTCCAATGAGTGACATAGCCACAACAAGACCTTCTACAGTAGTTCCCAGATTGAGATCCTCTTTTATGTACACAATTGCACCTGAAATCACGAAAGAGAGATCACCAAGCGAACGGGTGTTGGCAATCAACTAGAATTGGATTTTCAGCAACAAAATTGTGGCAGTGAGTGAATCTAGGAAACGATCCAAATAAATTCCACATATAAAGCTTCGAAAATGAATTTAATACAACTTTCAATGAATTCCAACAGCTTAAATTAGAAGAAAAACAAATTCCCATGACAGGAACAAGGAAGGAATGTTTTCCACCTACTCCAATCCTAAATTTGAAAACGGCTCAAGCATTACCAGGTTGCAGTAGGACGACTAAACATGTAACATTGTAAAGGCTTAAAATGAGAAAAGTACCAGCAATGGTAGCATTATCCCATCCCTGCAGAAAGTTACCAATGGTAGCAGCAATTGCTACAAGCACGGATCCCCTCATCTCTTCACCAATGAATCAAGCACCTTGCCTCTGACTAATCTGCAATCAATGAAGAAAACCGATTACATATTACTCAATGAACCAATTTCATAACTACACCAGATCTACTACACTCATAAGCAATCCTCTGTCACTTTCAAATGTGATTGCATCCATCAACCTACCAAACCAACCCAGTTCCCAAATCTAGAGATTCACCAAACTAATTTACACAACATCAAAGATTACGATGAAAAGAAACTAGGAAAACATCAACATTAACAGCAAAATTAACACACCCCAGAAAACAAATCTCTTTGGATAGAGCAGCTATGAATATCCAGGAGCATCAAGCTAGGATTTTGACAAGGAGACAGGTGAGTATAAAAGTTGTGTAGACCCACAAGAGGCAAAAAGGGTTGTAAAAAAGAGAAGTAAACATGATGATCTTGCCTTTGCAATATGAAGCTCTTTGCAAGTGAATGAACTGGCTTCCTCGTTGGAATCTTGGGTTTTTTTACACAATAATTTGCCAGATGTTATGGAATCAAAAAAGAAGCCACTCCAAAACTGAAAAGCAGTATCCTTTTCCCCTTTAACAGCTCTTTAACAGCTCTTTAACATCTGTCAACACCTGGAAACTCGTCATTCACTGACTCAAATATTCCTTCCAACTTAGTCACCATACGGAATGTAAATCTTGGCGTTATGGTAAACACCCAGAAACGCAGACAGTGCAATTCAACACAAAGCTTCCAACTTTGAAAAGAAAGAACACAAAAATATGACATAACAATTATATAAAAACAAAAAAAGAATCGGAATGGTAATCACATAATTCAGAGAGAATCTGTAGCCCACCATATAAATCTGGACCCAGAAATAGAATGACGGTGATGGTCGACATTACCACTTTTTAAAAGTTTTTCTAATATGTTAATTTGGTGATAGATTAGGAAGGTAATTAATATAGTTTTAATAATTAATTTGTATTAAAAAATTACAAATTAATCTTAATTTATTAACTATTTAATTAAAATCATACATGCATATGTAGCATTAAAATTAAGAAAAAAAAACATATCAATCTTAATTTTCAAAATAAATTAAAATTTCAATTTTAGGTTATATCTTTTTATTTAATTAAAACTTATTTCAAAATTAAATATTAATTTTTAAATTT